GGCCAACGCGAAAGCCCGACTGACGAAGGCCCAACCTTAAATTCAAATGGAGAACAAAAAAGAGGCAATCAATACTGACAGCACGTGAAAGTGTCTGTGTAAAGTGAAATAGCGCCGTGTGGAGGCGTTTTGCAAAATCGATGCTCTGCGCATAGGCTGTAATGCATAAGAGCAGGGCTGAGTCACCGCAACGGCTGTCGGTGCAGCGACGGCGCTCGAGTGACTGGCACGACTGCGGAAGCGACGACCGTTCGGAGGTCGTTTCACGCGACAAAGACCAGTTTACGCGCGAATTTCGTGCCGCCAAAGTCTTGTCTCGTTTGCGCAATGCTTTACGCCACCAAGGCGACGTGTCTTGCGTTCGAGTCCCGCCAGAGGCGCATATTGGATCGAGATAAGGCTGAAAGTGTACCCAATTGTCGTGCCCGGTGGACTACAGTCAGTACGGGTAGCCGAGTTGAGCTGACTTTTATTTTGTGAGTGTCTCCTGTTTTACGTGTGTGTTTGTGTGTCAGAGAGAGAGAGAGAGAGAGAGAAAAGGGATTCGCATGAGTCTATCTCCCCACAAAAAGATGGCCGACTCCCTCCGGCCTGCTGCCACTCGACAGACAGCTTCAGACGTGGACTTTATTCGTAAAACGACTTCCAACTGAAGCATCACTTTTGCTATACACACTCACAACGAGGATTTGGTTATTTCACATTAAGGCCTAGCTATGCATATGCACATTCATGTATGTAGGTGGGCTTGTGTGTGTGTGTGTGTGTGTTTGTGTGTCTCAAACGCAAGGTGCACAACAGCTTTCCCAGGTCATCAAGGCTAATGAGCATTTTTACTCGAAGAAACGCATCACTTAACTTGTATGCTACCGGAACTGTGTGTATGAGAGTATGTATGCAAAAAATGTGTGAATGCCATTGCTATCATCAGTAAGGCGATAATTCGCTTCTCCCTTTTGAGAGGGTTGTTCAAAACTCGTCTGCCCTCGCGTCTATCAAGCAGGCATAAGTGAGCCTATTTTTCGTTTATGAATAGGCCTCAAAGACTAGCACTAGATACGAAGAGAGAGAGAGTTGGTTTCGATGAATCTCCTGAGATAACATTGTCAGGGGACCTTCATTTCTAATGAAAGTGCATGAAGAAGAGATCCGTTGGTCGATCTCACCAGATGAGGACGGATAAAAATTGTTGTACTGCAGCCATTCGTCTTTTATATCATATTCATGTTGACGCC